TTTTTAAGTTATAACCTTTTAAAGTCCAGATACTTCAATTGTCACTTTACTGTGAACACACTCAATTCAGAACACAATTAACTCTTATTCAGAGCTGAGAAGATACTTTTGTTAAAAAATGTCTCATTGTGTTGAGTTTCTCTGTAACGTATTGAACAAAACTGCTCTTTACAAGTTCTCATTACATTTATTTGCATTTATTAAGTGACCTCTGCTCTTATAGTCTGCATCTGTAATCTGTAATCCTGAGAAACTGTCAGGAGTGGGCTAATGTTCTCATGTTGCTGGTACAAATGATTACATATCCCAGAATACAAGTGGACACTGAGTATTGCTGTTTAAACTATTTCTATACAAAATAGTTGACTGCATAAGGTAAAGATGTTTTATGCTTCAGATTCAGTTTATTTGACATTTGCAGTAAAACCACATTGGAAAAGTCCCAAGTGTGCAGCAGACGTCCAATCCACTGTTATTGTATAGTACATTCTATAAAACACGTTTCCAAAGTGCTGCACAGATAAAACACATTCTAATATACAAGTCTGCCAGCTTTAAATAAAATAATATAGATAACAACCAATTATAATAAAGCAACTGTATGCATTCATAAACATAAAATAAGGACCACACAAATCACGAGGTGTTAAAAGCCAGAGCATTTTTTACGTACTTGATACGTAAAAAATGCGTATCAAGACGAGACTTAACATTCCAACGAGGAGCTAACATAATTTTAAAGTAGCTGAAAAAGTACAGAAACTTTTGTCTGTGAAATTCATCATTAAAGTGCTTTGTTCAGACTGAAAACAGTTTGTGATAAGAAGCTGTTAGCATGTTAGCATGTCTAGAACCTGCGACTCAGCCAACGATATCTTGTCGGAGGGAAGAAGCTGGAACATGGCTTTTCCTGGTGCAGAGCAGTATGCATTAAACCAGGCCCCTGGAGAGCAGCAGCGTTTCTAGGGCTGTGACATGTTAAGATCGATCCTTGCATATTAATATATTATGAATAAATGTTCTGTTTAATAGAGTACACTGGGTAACAAAAAAATATTTTTTGAAAATACTCCAGGGTTTTCAGCTGAATTAGACTAATGTTAATGCTCTGAGTCTGAAAATGACCTTGGTTTTGCTCAATCAGGCCAGGATTTTTGCTACAGAATTTTTTTTAATCGATTTTGCGTAAAAAACTAATTTCAGATTCATTTTATTTGCCATTTGCAGTAAAAAAAAACACATTGGAATACATTAGCAAAAAGTCTCCAGTGTGCACAGACAAATACAGACATAAAACAACATTGAAAGACAGAAATAAAACAAATAAAACAGTAAACAAATGTCACTTTGAAATCGATCGACTAAGACAGTTTCAAAACAAGTGCAAATCATTAAAGTGCTCTGTCAACACTGATAACAGCCTGTGGATAAAAACTGTTAGCATAACGAGATGTCCTGCATCTCAGAGAGCGATATCTTCTGCCAGAGGGAAGAAGCTGGAACATGGCTTTCCCAGGGTGGGCAGAAGAGTCATTAACAATCCTCAAAGCTTTGTTTAAAAGTCTGGATTTATAAAGAACCTTCTTTCTGCGGATCATCAGCTGAGAAACCCTTGACGTTTTTTCCGTTTTCCTCAAGAAATAAAAGTCAACGTATTCAAAGTCATTCAGTTTTTATTTACGCCATCAAATTTGATAAGCAGAATTCATAATATTAGTAAAACAATGAGCGTTACATGACTTTTAGAGTTCACGGCATAAATCGGCGTTTCTTCGATTCCCGTGTGTGAGCAGCTGCTGGGTTGTCTCTCTTCAGCGACCAGCAGTATGGCTGTATCTCAAAAAGTTGACCTGATAGAGCAACATGCATGTGATATTTGGACTCAGAACACCAACATTAGTCTGAATCAGTTTAGAAACCCCTGACCATTTTTTGGCTGTCAACTTGTGTCATCATCATAGAAACTAGAAAAAGTAAAGTATAAGAAAATCACAAAGAAGTTCCTGCCTGTGGGCATTATTATTATTTTTAAATCTATCTCAGACACACAATGGTCTATACAAAGAGAAATAAATAGACAAATGGACCTATAAACATACAATACTATCTGTGGTCTAAGACATGGGTGCACTGAATATTCTGGGAGAGTTTATAATTTTTTGATCCAGAATGTTACATTACACATTGGTGCTTAACACGACAAGAACATACATCTTCAGATCATGTCAATTCATTTAAAAGTGATTATCCCGCCCTTCAGTTGCACGCTCGGCTACAGCCAGAAGCTGAAAGGTCACAACGTTCTCCCAAAACATAAATGTCACTGCTGCTTCTTATTGTACGGTTCTCATCTGCGTCGCTGCCTCCCGGAGATAAAACACTTTTCACAAGTGGTTTTTAAATCCTAGCACCTCTGTCGTCCTCTGAACACCGGTGATGAGAGAGAGAGAGAGGAAGGAGGGAGAGGGGCGATGATCAAATGGCAGCAGGGGAGGGGGGGAGAGAAGGAGAGGAGAGATTGAGAGGAGGGAAAGGTGCGATGATCAAATGGTAGCGTGAGAGGGAGGGATAGAAAGAGGAAGGGGAGGGATGGAGGGATAGAGAGGGAGGGATACAGAGAAGAGGGAGGGATACAGAGAAGAGGGGGAGGTATAGAGAATAGAGGGAGGAGATAGAGAGGGAGGGATAGAGAGAAGAGGGGGAGGGATAGAGAGAAGAGGGAGGGATAGAGAGAAGAGGGAGGGATAGAGAGAAGAGGGAGGGATAGAGAGAAGAGGGAGGGATAGAGAGAAGAGGGGGAGGGATAGAGAGAAGAGGGGGAGGGATAGAGAGAAGAGGGAGGGATAGAGAGAAGAGGGAGGGATAGAGAAGAGAGGGAGGGATAGAGAGAAGAGGGAAGAGAGGGAGGGATGGAGAGAGAAAGAGGAAAGGAGATGGAGAGAATCGGGAGAGAGAGATGAGAGAGAAGAAGCTGAGGACACACAGAAAGATCTCATTTACAGGAGTGGCTTAAGATCCCGTTTGACATTTGGTTCACGTCTCGATCTGTGCCGTTCTCTGCCGGACTCTCCTGTTTCCTTCACTGTTCCTGCAGAGCTTTGGTCAGAGGAGAATATCTAAGAGTGCCGTGAAAAGGGTGGGGCAGCTGTGCCTCAAACATTCTTGGGAATTGGCAAAAAATGGACGACTTGACAGATTTTTGACATACATGGGCTAATCTGTGGCGGGGCGCTAAAGATTCGAAACCGACCGCTACACATTGGGTTTTGTTTCTGGGAACAGTGTTTCTCTGGGTCAGGGCGGTCTTTGGGAGGTTCGGAGACGGGCTAGAATTGCGGGGAACAAGCTTGGAAGTGGCGTCGGGGCACTGCACAGCGAATTAAAGCAGCACAATCCCAGACTTTTTCATTTTCTTCACCATTATACTTTGAATCTATCATGAGACCAATTCGAGTCTCCAAATCTTATGGATCATTATTTAGTTGATGTGAAAAATCTTTTGCGGCGCTTCACTGAGAATTTATAAAAAAACATAGAAATGAATTCCAGAAACGACACGCATCTGTAGGAAAAAGGCCGTGGAACAGATAATTGTACAGAATGTGGATCATAGACCGTGAAATGTACCGCCATCGTCTCCAAGACAACCTTTTCAGCCCCGCGCTCCAAATTCCACTAATGATTCTCGTTCCCAGAATCAAAGCACGTTCTGGAACCGCTCTCGGACCTCGGAGCGTCTCACTCCGCCCGGCCCAGTTTATTACAGGGGTTAGTTTGGGGACTGTTGAATACTGCTGGCTAATCTTCACAATCCATGACTTTAGGATCATTTGTTTGGACAAAGGTTGGTCCAGTTTAGTCCAACTGTTTTGTTTTGGTTTCTAACAACTGTCTGAAGTGAATCGAGGGCAATGGACCAAGACAGAACTGTCCTGTTTACTATTTATTTTCATTTTTATTTATACATTCTGGAGATAAAAATCAAAAAGTACCATATATTTGGTTACACTGTAGTTTATCCCTCACCTTTCACCAGCTAGTGAGTAAATAAATAATGGTTAAAAAGGCCTTAATTGGCTTTTAGTTTTTATTACTGTTATCTTTTGAGTGCACTGGAAACGGCAGCAAGTAGAGATTCATGGTTTTACACTGGTCCAGACCAGAGCAGAGAGGATTCATGGTCCCAAACAAGTGGATCAGGTGAAAATCCATTGGAGGAATGTTAACTTTTTGAAAAGCATTTTACTTTAGACCAGAGCAGAGAAAATGGTCTGAACCAATCGGCTGCTCCACATTTGCTGCTGTGACCTCAAGGACTGTTGTTATTACTACTATTGTTAGCTTTTAAGAATTATCTGTATTGTTTGTCTGGATGGATGTGTTTCTGCTGCTACTGGACACCTGCATTTCTCCTACAGGGATCCATAAAGTATCTATTTATTACGCATTTATTTATTTATTATTATTCGTCAACATCTAACAACTAAGTGACCCTTTGGGATGTCACATGTGCGTTCGGGTTAGGGTACAGTAATTAGCACTTCATTGCCTGTTAATTTGTGAGGGCTTAGCTACTGTAATGTTACCCCACAATTAATCCCAAATACAAAGTCAGCTAAAACTTTTTTGCAAACAAATGTCTCCGTCGTGAAATGTGAACTCTCCATGATCCAAAAAAGTTTGTAACCACCACCATAGATTAATGAACCAGATACATTAAAAACATGTTATTCTGCTCATTAATCTATAGAGATTCCCTCAGCTAGTGATGGGAGAGAGGTGTAGGGTCAGAGAGTTATGGCCTTGACACTTATATTTTAAAGCCTTGTGTGATTGTTTCTACCTTGTTTTTTTCAGCACTTGGAGCTCCCTTGTGTATGAACTGTGCTATACATATAAACTGGCCTTGCCTAAATTGTAATTCCACTCTAACAAAGCATTCTTGTATATCTCGCCTACAATCTCATCCTCACTGTTTGTGGTGTGTGCTCTGGTTGCAGGTGTGGGGAGGAGCTCTCCACTTGGATGCCCTGTCTCGCCGTGGGTCTCAGGCGCCACCATGAACCGGAACAAGCGGGAGAAGGAGTACTACAGCATAGACGTGGGCGACTCCACTTTCACGGTTCTGAAACGCTACCAGAGCCTCAGACCCATCGGCTCCGGGGCCCAGGGAATCGTCTGGTAAGATCAGCCACTCGCTCGCAGTCTGCTTTAAAGGAGCAGTGTGTAAAAAATGTGGCCAAAAGTGGTACTGCAGCCTCTCCCACTCTCCCTGACTCAGGTTGCCAGATATGCAGACGAATCCAGCTGGGACCATAACAGCTGAATAGAGTTTTGTCAACAACAAATCTATAACCAACACCTTTTTCACAAAGATAGAAATCCTGGTTTTATTCCTTGTTTTGTCGTTAATGATTTGAGAATCATAACGAGACCTTTTTTAGTTCTGCGCCACATGGTAGTTTACCAGTGAGATTAGCTCCACGCGGTGAGTTCTGGCGCCCGGATCACGGACTTTCTGATAGGTGAAACGGTGGAGGGCGGGACATGGAAATTAAAACACTAAGAAGATTTAGGGGCTGTAAAACTAATTTAGAAATTATCCCAGCCAAACTTCTGTTTTCAGATAAAGAAGTATTGGAAAAGATCATGTTTTATTAATGCCTTTTGACAAATGACGGCCCTTTTAATGATGACCGGACATCTTACATATTGCTACTTAAATTTGAGTATCTGTCTTTGTTTAGTTATTTGAATGTTTTTGTGTTTTACCTGGCAAATGAATATTAAAGTTTGGTTACTCTTTAGATCATCTCACTAAGTAATAATATCATTAATAATCCTTTGGTTTATATACAGCGCTTTTCCTTAGTTCGAATAGTTTGATTCTCTCATCTGTTGTTGGCGAATCAACAATTTTGTGGTGTCGCAGAGATATCTACTGTTGTGATTTAGGGCTACACCAAAATACATTGAAATTGTAAACAAAATTTATATACGTGTTATATCTAATCTTTTTATTCATATTTACCCATTACCAACTGCTTGCTTCATTAAGTCCCTGTTTTAACGGAGACGCTGCAAAGCAATTGGCAAAAATGACCAGGCTCCTTACTCGAAGTGCACAGCGTTTACGCGACGACAGAAGATGTAGTTCTAGCGCCTGGCCAGTAGGGGGCAGTGGCACTTTACAACACTTGACCCCAGCAGCAGTATATTCACTTCCTCAACAACATCCTCTTCAGGCCGCTGCAAAGTAGTGAAAGAACCAACATAATTCTGCATTTTACAGAAGCAGCAAAGATAGAAACTGAAACGACATCTGTGCATGGTTTTTTTTGGATGAACAAAGTAGATTTCTGTGTGTAGCGCTCGAAGCACATGTAGCTAGTTAGCATACCCGCCGCCATTGTTGTTTACGATTGTTCTCTGCTTCTGCGCATGTCCAAATGTACGTGCGGGAAGTGGAGAGGTCATAGCAGCAGAGAATTTACATATTTTTTTCTTCACGTCTTCATGTAAACAAAAAGCCAAACCGATACACAACTCTTAGGTTGCTGCGTCCTCGGGGAAAAAGCACCTAAAAGGACAATAATATCGTCATTATTGTATAAACGCATTGACTGCCAATGACGTACTTGTCTGATTTCTGTCCCACTCCCCTCTTTTCGACTGGGGATTACGGACAAACAAAACTAGCTAAAAACAAACTTTTTTTTGCTGATGAAAGTAGACAGCCCTGTCTTTCAGAATCTGGTTTCATATTTCACAAAGTCATAACACATAATATTCTGTGGGTCTTTGAAAATCGGTGAAATCATCAAAAACGGCTGCCAGTCAATGAGTTAAGAGATGGGTTTTGGGCCTTGTTTAGATGATTCTAGTCATTCAGTGAGTGGATGTTTTCTGTCCTCTTCCATCACACTGTTGTAGTCTTGAACTGTTGGTGTTAGTTTAGAACGCAATCTCCCTGATGAGGAGGAGGCTGCAGAAAGGAGGAGGAGGCTGCAGAAAGGAGGAGGAGGCTGCAGAAAGGAGGAGTGGAACGTGGAGTGCTGATTGGCTGCCTGTCTCCCTGCTTGACTTTACACGTATAAGCTTCTTCTGGGTCAGCTGTTTATGGAGCGAAGCCCAAACGACAACACGGATCAATGCATAATGTAGTATTTGTTGACAGTGCAGAGGGAGTTTGTGTTTCCGTGAGTTTGTTTGTCTTGGAGAGCTCTACACACACGTCCTGGATCTGTTTCTTATGGTTAGCTGCTGTAAATGATGTCTTTCATATTGTAAGCTAATGTTTGTACCAGTACTGTCGTTATCACATCTGGGATTAATTGCACTGCAGGATCTTCTCAATGCCTGCTCCAAGTATGGTATAGATTTTGATGTGAGTACTAAAAGTAAAAGTACTAAATTACGTACGAAATATGAATAGTTACTTTAGTGGGTGGCAAATTGGCAGCACGGTGGCACAGTGGTTAGAGCCAGAGGAGCAATGATAAAAAACTCAGATCCATTGGTCCTTAAGGAGCAGACGACCAGGCTGAGTGTCCTGGATCTGCTCCCACAGACGGACAAGCTTTAGATCCAGGACTCAGGCTACAGCTCGAGGACTAAGGCCAGACTGAGGCAGGACTGATGCAGCTCCCAGGCGGGGGTGCGGCCCACAAGTCGGGCAGGACGGTTCTTTCAGTCTTAGGAACAGACACGATACAAATTTAAACTTTCCTCAATATAGATCATGTAGCATTGAGCTAACTGCCTGTTAAAAATATTAATCTTTTGGCCATTTTATTTAAAATGTCCCAGGCTGAATCCGGGGTCTCCAGTTTATTTATACCCTCACTTCCAGAGCAGCAGCAGCCAATTATGCGAGTAACCAGCTACTGTAGCTTCTGTAGCTACTGTAGCTACTGTAGCTTCTGTAGCTACTGTTTACCTTCTAAACCTACGCCTTTTGAAGAGATCCTTTCTTCGTCAGTGATGCATCAGCAGTTACAGAACAGTAACAATGTTTTTATTATGTCCTGTACAGTATTCTTGGGTGTTTTGAAAGGCGCTTTAGATAAAAGGTATTATTATTATTATTATTATTATAGTAGGTATGAGGAGAACACAGCTAAAGATAAAGGAACAATGATTCTAGACCAAAATACCATTTTAGCTTTAGCAAAACACAGAGCAAGAATTAAGTCTAACATCTGACTTTGTTATTATAAAGAAGTACACATGGGCAACAGTTTTAATGATATAATGTGCAATACAGAACCACATGTGTCCCTGTCTCTTTACTGAGTCACCTTCATGCTAATGCTAACATGTACAGATGTAAACATTCTACTGTATATTTCTGCATTATACAAGATTTTACACTTGCTCTTTATTTTGCTGAAGCTGGAGATGTTATTTTATTTTGAAAGTTATATGTGAGGGTCACACAGTACAGGTCTGACTCTGAACTGAGACTTTGGTTTAGTTCGAGGAGTGAGGCTTGTTGTTCTGATGTTTTGTGTTTCTTGGGCTGTGACTTATTCCGGACCACGGGTCTGTAATAGCTTAATGGTGAACCTGTTGAACTGGGCAAACACAAATCAATGAGAAATTAGCAAAACGGGCCAAAGCCAAGACACATCGACACTGTTTGCAATTTATCCTGCGAGTTCAGCAGTTACAAGAATCTTTTCACACAACGCCCAAGTTACGCTGACGACACACAACTCGCGGTGGAATCGATACAGAGTTTGTGTTTTGAATATTTTGATATCCACACATATGATTAAAAGTAGAAGAAAATATCCTAATCTAGGGCCTTAAAGGGTCTAAATGCCCTGGGGTAAAGGTCTAAAAATTCGTCTCAAAAAAGGGTATATTTTTAATCCCTTTTGGTGACTTTGAGGAGAGCAACACGGGTTAAGAAAACACTAGGACTCTGAGAACTCAGAGAGCATTCAATGGAGCAGTACATTTTCACTGCTCCTTGTCAAATGAATGGAATTCTAAAACATTGGCCCAAAGATCTTTTAGTTTTCTACCAGAAAATAATGCTCAATCATTAATCAATTCTGTCCTTTTTACTCCCAGTTAAAAAGTGTGTAAACCTTGTCACTATAAAAGGAAAACAAATACTAACTTCTGCAAGTGGAAAACCAAATGGACTCAGAACCAGTCCAGAACTATCCATCCACCAAATTCTTCTTCCCCTTAATCCATTTCTGAGCCTTGATTATTCAGCGGGGGCTTTAGGCAAAGTGGGGTTAAGTGTCTTGCCCAAGGACACAACGACAGCAGTCATCAGTGGGGGTCGTGAAGTAGGTCTTGTGGTGGACTCGAACCCACGACCTTCAGCCCTAAAAGCTATTGCTCTACCAACTGAGCCACTGTTGCCTCTCCAGTCCAGAACCAGCACCTTGAAAAAGGGCCTTGAGTGATTTCACACTTGCTTTTTTATTTTGCTAAAGTTAGATATTATTTTAGAATAGCTCAGAAGTCTCCAACTTTTTACAATCAGATACTTTTGTAAAACAGAAGAGGCAGAGCTACTCTTTTAGTACAAGAGAACACAGAGAACATGTGTCAAATACTGTCATACTTAGTTTATAGACTTAATATTTTGACTCCTTCTGGTAGTGGGCTGGTTGTAGACATGGTCTGGTCTGGTCTTGGTCTGGTCTTGGTCTTGGTCTCTACAGTCATAGAAAGTAGAGTCGCAAATTCGCAATATGTAAGATTTTCATGTCAAGTCCTCATTGATATGGTATTATGTCAAAAGGCACCCATAAATCTTGTTTGTTTTCATTTCAATGTTCCGCCTTCCACAGTTTCACCAATCAAAAAATGTTGTGATCCGGGCGCCAGAACTCACCGTGTCTCGTTATGATTCTCAAATCAACGACAAAACAAAGAATAAAACCAGGATTTCTATCTTTGTGAAAAAGGTGTTGGTTATAGATTTGTTGTTGACAAAACTCTTGTCTATTCAGCTGTTATGGTCCCAGCTGGATTCGTCTGCATATCTGGCAACCTGAGTCAGGGAGAGTGGGGGAGGCTGCAGTACCACTTTTGGCCACATGTTTACATATTGCTCCATTTAGAGGTAGAACTTCTCACATTTAATAAAGACAATGGCAGTGAAATAAAATACTTATAGATACAGGAGAAAACAGACATCCAAACCAACCTCTGGGAGTTAAAACCAGTAAACGCTGCTGTGAGTTTGTTTCTGTGGAGATGCTCTTTATGTCCTTATTAGTCTAATGGCTGTGATTTAGCTGCGTCTGAGAAACTGTCTTCAAGAAGCATTAAGGATAATGAGTGCTGACTGTGTGTGGCCGTGCTCCTCCCACAGCTCGGCCTATGACCACAACCTGGAGCGGAACGTCGCCATCAAGAAGCTGAGCCGGCCCTTCCAGAACCAGACCCACGCCAAACGGGCCTACAGGGAGCTGGTCCTCATGAAGTGCGTCAACCACAAGAACGTAAGGCACTCTGCAGACTTCAGATGAGGACACACAACACGCAAGAACTGCACCACATTATATATAAATACAGTATGTTGTATGTATAAATGGTTTTAAAGATAATTATGGCTTCTTTATTATGCTAAATTTAGATTTAATTTTAGTATAGCACAGGGCTTTCCAACCTTTTTCAATCAGAGAGCTACTTTTATAAAACAGAAGAGGCCAAGAGCTACCACTTTTTGCGGTCACAATAAAAATGACTGCAAAAAAGGGCGTCTCTGCTTAGACTGCTGCCCCTGCGACCCGGCAATGGATGAAGCGGAAGAAAATGGATGGATGGATAAAAATCTATGGAATAATTGCCACAAGAGAGAACACACTCAGAGAACTATGATACTTTAGTTTCTGGACTTTTTGACTATTACTGATTCTGGACTGGTCCTGGTCTGGTTCTAAACTGGTCCTGGTCTGGTTCTAGACTGGTCCTGGTCTGGTTCTAGACTGGTCCTGGTCTGGTTATAAACTGGTTCTGGTCTGGTTATAAACTGGTCCTGGTCTGGTTCTAAACTGGTCCTGGTCTGGTTCTAAACTGGTCCTGGTCTGGTTCTAGACTGGTTCTGGTCTGGTTATAAACTGGTCCTGGTTTGGTTCTAAACTGGTCCTGGTCTGGTCCTAGTCTGGTCCTGGCCTCGTTCTAGGCTGGTCTTGGTCTGGTTCTAGACTGATCCTGGTCTGGTCCTAGTCTGGTCCTGGCCTGGTTCTAGGATGGTCTTGGTCTGGTTCTAGACTGGTCCTGGTCTGGTTCTACCCTGGTCCTGGTCTGGTTCTTGCCTGGTTCTAGACTGGTCCTGGTCTTGGTCTGCCCCTGGTTTACCCGGAGGGCGGAGGCCGGGAGATGGTTAAAATGGTGGAAAACTAAACATTTTTGGCGGGACTTTGTGAGAATCCCGTTGGTTGGGAGCAGTCAGTCAAACATGGGTCGTACATCTGTAAAAATCCTCTGCTTCTGTTCTTTGCAGTGTAAAGTATCAACACGCAACAGTAGCTTTCCTCAAAGTAATCAGCAGAGATAATGTGGGCCACAGTGAGTCAGCCTGCATACATTATGAATCAGCTAGCACCAACACGCTGCTGTTAGCATTAGCGGCTAAAGGGCATCCACTCAACGGTCACAGAACTGCCCACGGGAGGAGGCAAATATTTACTTTTCTGACCTTTTTATATACACCGGTGAAAATTAGAAAAATAAATTAACTTTTAGATCAGGATTCTTTTTTTAACCCACAGTGTGATCCCAATATATGACTTATTAGGCAAGGTTATTTGTAGGGCTGGGCGATATAAACGGTAAACGGTATGCGATATAAATTTGGCCCACGGTAGAGATTTTTGTTATACCGGCATATTGCAATAGGTCATTAGGTCATCAAATTGCGCAGGCTCTGACGCCAGCAGAAAGCACCAAAACAAACCGGCATTCAGCAGCCTAGCACATTAGCCTAGCACATTAGCCTAGCACATTAGCCTAGCAGCATTAGCTTAGCAGCATTAGCCTAGCAGCATTAGCCTAGCAGACACCACTGGAAACGACGAACAACAGCACGGCATTAACACCGTGTTTCTGTCTATGTATTGTTGTCACAGCGGCCCCAGCAGAGGTAAATACACACACAGTAATCACAGTTTAAGCGTCTACCTTTTGGCCAATCAGTGTCAAAGGGGCGTAGGCTCGAAGCGCCAGCGTGTGCCAAAATAGATCCATGCGTGTGCCGTGTCCGCAGCATCACAGCAGAAGTTTGGGAAAATTAGCGTCAGATTCGGACCTCCGCGGTCAATATCTCACAAAAGCTACTTTGTTAAACAAAATTAATTGTGCCAAAATGACCATTTACATCAATTGTTCAAATCCAATGTGCTGTTTTAATGAACATAAATCCATTGAATCATCCAGTTCACTGCAAGTGCAGAGAAGAGCACTTAGGGAGCGTCAACCAATGGCAAGACCAGCTTTGTAAACGAACAATAGCTTTGACTGAAGCCATGTACCTGCACAAAACTCTCAGACACTATAAATAATGACCATGTCTAACTGCTACAGACTTTGATTTAAACATTTGTGAGTTTTAAAAAATATTTTAAATGAATACATGTTTTTCTTTTTTTAAAGTTGCTTTTACAGTAAATGGTCTTTACTGTAACGTACATAAATAATGTATGTTACAACATTTGTCTCTTCATTTGTCTCACAACTCAAAAAATATATGTATACTAGATTCTAATAAGTAACAATCTTGAGTATTTTATGCAAGAACCTGCTAGACCTATATTGAAATTCACACAACAAATTATACCACAATATATACCGTCTACCGTCTGTGTCCCAAATTATACCGCAATATGAATTTTAGGCCATATCGCCCACCCCTAGTTATTTGTATAGCACAGTTCATACACAAGACGACTCAAAAGTGCTGAACAAAACAAGATCAGAAAACAATCACTCAAGACATTCAAATAATAATCACAGGGACCGGCCTCTTGCCTGACTCTCCCCAGACCCTTGTAGTTCGCTGAGCCTCACACGAGGGTCTGGGATTTTTCAATAGATTTATTTCAGAGGGCGGGGCCTTGTAAAAAATCCTTGTATGCGATTGGATAAACCACTTGTATGTTATTTTGAATGACGTGCTACTTTAACGACTCGCATTGAAGCACACAATTCAGCTACACTCTATGTTCAGCACACGACCCCCATGGGTTGCCAGATAATTATTTGTTCCCATCTTTGAAGGAGTTTGGATTGCGCTCGATCCCAGAGCCTTGTGTTCAGCCAGACGCCTCTGGTGGAGCATGACGGAACTACAAGGGTTTGGTGACAGTCGGGCTAATAGCCTCCTGCTGGTGCCCAGAGTCGAGACTAAACTGGAAGCATTTCAGATTTATGCGGCTAAACTATGCAGATAAAGTCTTCCTGAAAATGTGAGACTGGCCTCTTCTCTGACAATGTTCAAATCCAGGTTCACAGTCCTGTTAAACTGTGCGACAACTTAGGGATTTTTTTTCTTCACTCATGATTTTAATCTCGTTGGAACTTTGAAATGCCTTGTGTATGAACTGTGCTATACAAATAAACTTGCCATCTGGTAGCTCAAGATGAAAACGTAAAACATGGTAAACGTAGAGGCCGTGTACTCGAGGACGCTGCGTCAGTATAAAGTCAGAGTTGGGTTTTGAATGGAGCGTTTCCGCCTAAACTGCGCCAAGACCAATGTTTCTGCCTCCTTCTGCTTGTTTTTTGGCTGTCTTCTTTCACAACCTGCAAAAATCTATCTAAAACGTTCCATATCTGAAATTAGGGCTGGGCGATTAAACGAAAACGATATATATTGCGATACACGTGTTCAATATCAATAGAAAACGGGGTCGATAGAATGTTTGATAGTTACTCAGTTAGAAAAAACAGGAAGAAAACACAGGAAGTAAAGCCGAGTCAGAAGCGTGCGGCATTCTGGGGGATGTAGGCAGAGGCTTCTCGACCCATCACAGCCGAGTATGAACTGCAAAACACTCTGGGAAATGCAAAAACATCAACTGCACCAGGCGTAGCGTCCATGGATCTAAGATTGTTTTTCAATGCCGTGTCAGTGGTTATGCATGTCCCTGTCAGGATTAGCATGTGCGGCGCAGGAGAGGCAGTGGACACAGACCCGGTGAAAGAGCGGCCGCACAGAGCCGTCATGGGGACACAAAACAGGAGATGAACCAGGACTAAACCATGATTAAACCACTATTAAACCACGATTAAACCACAATTAAACCACGATTAACCCAGGACTAAACCAGGACTAACTATGGGGGAGACTGCTTGTGAACATATTCCTCTAGCCTCATTCCCCCGTGACTGTAAACAAGGCTAACAATGCTAACCGACATGACAAATGTATTTATTCAGGTAAAAAAAAAAAAAAAAAGTAATTATCAATATGTATCGTTGTCGACCGATATGAATTACTTATAATGTGATGTAGGTTTCAGCTGTATCGCCCAGCCCTATCTGAAATATTGACTTTTAACTGCATCATTGACATGGCCCAGTTTATCCAACAGTTTCTCTCCTTTACTTTCATGATTGAACTCCAAAGGCCTCCTCTTTGCCTTTAATCACAAATGTAAACTCAAACGTTATCATTGTAGCAACAGTGTGTAAAGAAGTGGATGTGTTGGTGTGTTCTGTGCAGCTGAACCGTCTGTGTTCGGCTGCAGGCGGAGACTCTCTCACCCTTCTCTGTGATGTCTTCGTCATCCTCACTTTATGTTGAATCATTGATGCAGGATTCTCTGGGGCCTGAGAATCTCGGGCCTTAACGTAAGGTAGAAATCTAACTGAACTTTTAGTGAGGTATTGATTGGCCTGCAGCAGAATCTGATTTACAGTTTGGGGCAGATACAAGAGGACGGTGACCAAAGACAAGTTAGAATGGCTTTTTAATCAGATGCGATTGAGAGGTTCCATTTGTGTGTGTGTGTGTGTTCGCTCTTTGTCGTACATCAAACATTTAAAAAAAGACAAAATATTTGTCTTATTTCTATTTATTGAGTGTGTAGCTAAATAAGTACGGAATAATGTATAGAAGGCAGGTCATTATCGGAAAATAATCACTGACAGGACAAAGCGGGTCTGCTCCCGTCCTGTCTGTGCTTATTTTCCGATAATGACCTGCGTACTATACATTATCCCGTTTATTATACGGCTTTGTACCAACAGAACACACAACATAAACTTCTGTCCACTTTTAGGAATGTCGAAAAGTTTATTTAATGACAGAAAATAAAATAGTTCCCAAAGGCTTTCCCGTGGCTATGCTACTAACAGTTAGGCTAGTAAGAGTGCGTTGCCAAAGGGCAGCGGTCATTATTGTTTTCAGAGGTCCATTATCAAGAAATAATGCTCTGTAGAACGTTTTGAAATGACGTTCAAATCAATGGAGCGTTCTGCTGCTGCTGTGAGGAGCTGTGTAATAAAGTATGTGCTAAAGGGTTTGTGTCTAAGCTTTAGCCTCTGCTTGCTCTGTGTCTGACATTTTGACCTTATTTTCAAAGTGTGTAAAAATGTCAAACGTCTGAAATAAACTCAAACTAAGCTATAAATATCTTCACTGTAAGATCTGTGGCCAAACCTGCAGGTGAAAACTAGATCCTGTCAGACCTTTGAAGCTAAGCAGGGCAGGGCCTGAGTAGTGCTGTGATGGGAGACCTCTGGGAACACCAAGTGCTACAGCGGGGCGGCTGCGGCTTTAAAGTGCCGAATTGTGGTTATATCCTTAGGCAAGACACTTCACCCACATTAGAATGAGTCTGGTGTGTGTGTTGGTGGTGGTGTCCGCATGTGTCAGGGCAGCTGTGGCTACAATACTAGTTTATCACCAATGTTTGGAGTGAGTGAATATTTAGACGTGATAATAAAGCGTATTTGAATGTCCAAAAAGCGCTGTATAAAAGCCCTCTTCTGTCCAAACACAATCCTCCATGTGAGTCTGTCGCAGAGAAAGCAGTGTGTGTGACCTGCTGCTTCTTGTTGTTTTTCCAGATTATCGGTTTGTTAAACGTGTTCACGCCGCAGAAGACGCTGGAGGAGTTCCAAGACGTGTGAGTATCTGTGTCTGGATCAGGATCAGTGAAGCAGGATGTGACGCTGGGGCCGGCCTCACCTGCTCCAGTCCCAGCAGGAGCGCTTTATCGTCGAGAACAGATAACGGTTTGAAGACAGTGTTGTAGACGTTCATAACAGCAGAGTAGATTTGATCTGCTTTTCTAAAAATTTTAAAACATTTTTACATGTCACACAGAGCAAATAACAGGCCGTCTTTAAGCATTGTTACACTTTGAGATTCACACACATTAAATAAAGCATCTCCATTTTCCCCAATATTCCAACATTTCTCTGAGTGAAAACGTCAGTCTTTCCATTTCTCTAATGTCTGTCACGATTGTTCATCCAGTCTGATTTTGTTACTGGTTGGTCCTGTCGCCATTTTCGAGTGATCGCCTTCTTACTCGCCACGAGCATTATCTGGAGTAGATGGTGGACTTTTTCTCTAGATTTGATCTGCTTTAAAGAGATTCTGTAAAACATTTGTCGTTGATTCAGATGTAGCTGAACAGGAAGTCAACACATCACTTAAAATGCACAATGTGTCTGCGAAATATTGTCTTCGGAAAATAGAAAAATAGAAGGTACAATCACGGCGTCGCGGCTCCCAACTGTCAAAGTAATAATGAGAAACCAGAGACACAGTATTGTAATTCCTCTTAAATACTAATAATCTGCGGTACGACTAAACCATGGAGCACAAACTGAGAACGCGATCCTGACCGTCTGATCTGGTCGTGATTTGCCAAGAATCAGATTGGAGACATGAGAGGGATGGCGGCGGCGGCGGCGAGGACAGTGCTGTCGTAGCGCATCACGGGAGCAAACGCGATTAACAAATGCGTCCTTCCCGAGACGCAGAGGCCGCGGGCGCTCTGGCTGCTCTTCCAGATCAGCGCCACCAAAGCAAACCGCACAAATCACGGCCGCGGGCTCCGGACTCTGCAGAAACACAGGACTGAAAACACACTTTCCAAACGGCCACAAACGCCGCTTGTTTTCTGCTGACATTTGAGAAGGATCCACTGGCGTGTTCTGCAGATGGGGGGCTTTAGCGTTAGCGCGCACACGACTGAGGATAAGTTTAGCGGAAGAAATGTGTCAGAAGTTTTTGCCTTTATCGAAGCAAAGACGCAGTGATGTAACAGCTGCCAGAGGTTATGTTCACAATGTGGGGCTTTTTGGGGCGACTGAGGCTGTCGCTGCCTAAATGTCAGATTTGTTTCACACTTTGTAACGTCTATTAGCACTTTAGGAAAATGAAGAAAAACAAAGGCCTTTCTCCTTCTCTTTTCTCTGCTGTTACTATACCATTATCATTCTATGCTAAGTCACAAACTCTTTTAATGTGTTTAAATGAGTCCATGGTCTGGGAGTCCATGTTTTTACTTTCCAAATCTGTAAATATAACACTTTCTGAAACTGTCAAATGCTGTTTCTTGTGTGTATATTTATTAGAGGTGGGAAAAAAAATCTATCAGTCCTAGTTTTAAATTTTCAAAAGGTTTTTTTTCTCTTTACTCCAAACAATACCTGAAGAAGCAGCTTCATATAAGTCCTTATGTCTTTCTGCTTCACTGCTCTCACCAGTGCAGAGACTCAGATGTGACTAGAGTTTATATATGGACATTATATAATATAATCTTGTTGGCATATTGGATAATCCAAATAAAGACACAACAAAATATTGCATCATGAAATATTAGAAAATGTGAGAATTGAACTGAATCCCACTAATAGATTATTTACTTTTTACATTTTATTGTTTTTGATTATTTTTAGGCCTGTCAAACGATAAATTTTTTTTTGTTTATTATTTGTATAGTATTGTGAGTTAACTCATGATTAATCAAATTTTTAACATTCTATTTCAAATCCAACTGAAGTTAAATGAGATCAAATATAATTACATCGTCGTTCAGACCAAATGTTCTTAAATCTGTTTGATTCACAACCTTATACTTTTGGGCACAACCAACATGAGCTGTTAATGAAAGGGAACATTTACGTACCCCAGCTTTAATTCAGCGAGTCCAGTTTAGTTCAGTTCAGTTTAGTTTCAGGAGGAGACAGGACACTTCTGCGGTGTCTTTGCACAGGTTACAAAGACACAAACACAACATGCAGAGACAGTCCTGTGGCGTGTTTGGTCTTTAATGACCACATTACCACAGCGCCGTTCACCGTGTTGTTGTGTTGTGTAACAACCAGAGCGGCCGCAGCTGCCCCCGGGGTGTGCCCCGGGAGGTGGCCGCAGCTGCCCCCGGGAGGCAAACTTCAGTCCATACCATAGACTGTATTCTTTTAAAACTTGAATTCCCAGAAACCTGCTCTGTTGCATCACAGACGCTCGTGTCCGCGACATTCTGACTGCGTGATATAAATGGGCGGGTCATTCGAACATGCGTTAATTTATTTTTTATGCGTTAATGAAAAATGTAATTAATGTGAGTTAACTCAATTTTGACAGCCCTAATTATTGTATTTTTTACAACCTGTTTTCACGCCACACCCTCTACATGTGTCCTACAGTGGTCGAGTTGAGTGAGTTTAGCATCCCCTTTCTCAGTTTTCCTCTTGTCTCCTGTACGGGTGGGAACCTAAGGTACCCTACGATACGATACACGATACAAAGCTCACGATAATGATATTATCACGATAACACGATATGACGATTATCGATATATTGGTCAGAAATATACAATATGCCAATTTATGGCATAAATAAAAGAAAAAATACACTTTATTTGATAAATGGAATGGAGATGCGTAATGTAGCCATATATTAGGTATTGATACCAATTTTTTTTAAAGAATTGGGAAAAAAAAAATATATTTTCACTATCGATACTTGGCAAATGCATATTGATAATCGAATCGCAGGAGAATATATCGCGATACATTCTCAATCAAAAAATTGATATATCGTCACACCCCTAGTCTCCTGGTCTCTGCAGGTACCTGGTGATGGATGCTCACCTGGTGTCTTGTCTCCTGGCCTCTGCAGGTACCTGGTGATGGATGCTCACCTGGTGTCTTGTCTCCTGGTCTCTGCAGGTACCTGGTGATGGATGCTCACCTGGTGTCTTGTCTCCTGGTCTATGCAGGTACCTGGTGATGGATGCTCACCTGGTGTCTTGTCTCCTGGTCTATGCAGGTACTTGGTGATGGAGGCTCACCTGGTGTCTTGTCTCCTGGTCTCTGCAGGTACCTGGTGATGGAGCTGATGGATGCTAACCTGTGTCAGGTGATCCAGATGGAGCTGGACCATGAACGGCTGTCGTACCTTCTGTACCAGATGCTCTGTGGCATCAAACACCTGCACGCGGCCGGAATCATCCACAGGGTACGATCCAGGAACGTTCACACATTTGGGAACATTTGGAAATATTCAGAAACATTCAGTCACAGACATCGATAGAACTTTGGGTATACAGTCGGTGACTAGTGCAGAGACTAGAACCAGGAAGTACCATCACATTAGTGACGTCAGTGCCTCCTGCTGAGATTCTGAGGAGCACAGGGACTTATTATTCAATTTCTGGGTTGGGGGGGTGGCAATCAGAGCTGCCACCCAAGGGAAGATGGCGTCTTTGTCATCGAAGACATGGCCATGGTCTTTCAGCGGGGGCTTCCGGCAATGTGGGATTAAGAGTCTTGCTCAAGGACACAACGACAGTAGACATCAGTGGGAGCAGGTGACATGGGTCATGGTGGGATCAGACCCACGACCATTAGGTCCAAAGATCGGTGCTCAACCAAACTGAGCTACTGTCGCACATCAGATTAATGCGGCTATAATCCTGAAAATGTGAGACTGGTTTATCACAGTTCTGTTTATCTGTGCATACATCTGAGGGGTCGTATCTTCACTCTCATGTACTGTGTGTGTGGATGGTTGGAGGTGGGAGGGGCCAATGACAGACTGGTTGCCTCACTCCTGTCGGTGTGCCCCAGGGCAGCTGTGGCTACAGTAATAGTTAATCTCCACTGTGTTTGGAGTGAAGAAGAATAACATGCGAAGTATCTTTATGAGTCCACAAAAGAGTGAGGTTCACAGTTTGCAAAACGTGCTGAACAAAAACAACTGTTGGATCAGATCATGAATTATAATAATGAGTTGCGTATTTAAACGAGATGCATTGTAATAATTCATGATCGTCTTCTAGTACGGTGTTATCCAGTGCAAGTTTGTCAAATAAAAAATCATTCTCCTTTTGAATATTGTGCTTTTCCAAATATGTAAATGTAACTTTGGATTCTACATGGTCAGTTTGCAAAATGATATCCAATAATAACCCTTATCAAAACTAATCTACAGCTAAGAAGCGTTCCAGCTCCTTCTATTCCACTTAGAAGGAGCAAACTTGACCAAAGAACACAGCGTCAGGAAACTTCCATATGTCATTGTTAGCAGCCCGGGATAAGAACAGACGCTACACCTCCCTCTGGTGGCCGCACCGGGGAAAAACGGGCCAGTAGCAGATTACACAAAATACTTTCTACTGAAGATACAGTTTCATGTTCAAAAACACTGAAGGAAGTAAATGGCCTCATTATTGTCTTTAATAATAAGAATAAGTCCTAATTAATTTTCCAGATCTGACAGCTCCTCTTCTTTTGTTTCATTTTAACTCCATTTATTCTATTGTTTTTATAGTAACATTCAAATGTTACTGCCCCTTTCCTCTGGTCTCGGACTGGTTCTAGTGTTAAGAGATTAAGAGATCCTTTAATCGTCCACAGTGGGGAAATTTCAATGTTGCATAACTAGTTACAGAACAGCAGGAATGAGCACAAGGTAAATACCACAGCTCTATACTAAACTCTCTACTTAATATAATCAAATAATGTCGGAACCACACGTTTTAGTTTATCAAAGGAGCAGTATAAGTGGTACTGGTACAGACGAATCCAGCTGGGACCATAACAGCTGAATAGAGTTTTGTCAACAACAAATCTATAACCAACACCTTTTTCACAAAGATAGAAATCCTGGTTTTATTACTTGTTTTGTCGTTAATGATTTGAGAATCATAACGAGACCTTTTTTAGTTCTGCGCCACATGGTAGTTTACCAGTGAGATTAGCTCCACGCGGTGAGTTCTGGCGCCCGGATCACAGACTTTCTGATAGGTGAAACGGTGGAGGGCGGGACATGGAATTGAAAACAATAACAAGATTTAGGGGCTGGAAAACTGTTTTTGAAATCCGAACATCTCTGAACTAGTATTGGAAAAGAGCAGTTTATTATTATGACAGATTAGGGCCCTTTAATGATGACTGATAAGGGCCCTTTCATGATCGCAGATTAGGGCCCTTTCATGATGACAGATTAGGGCCCTTTCATGATGACAGATTAGGGCCCTTTCATGATGACAGATTAGGGCCCTTCCATGACAGATTAGGGCCCTTCCATGACAGATTAGGGCCCTTCCATGACAGATTAGGGCCCTTTAATGATGACAGATTAGGGCCCTTTAATGATGACAGATTAGGGCCTTTTTAATGATGACAGATTAGGGCCCTATAATGATGACAGATTAGGGCCCTATAATGATGACAGATTAGGGCCCTTTAATGATGACAGATTGGGCCCTTTAATGATGACAGATTAGGGCCTTTTTAATGATGACAGATTAGGGCCTTTTTAATGATGACAGATTAAGGCCTTTTTAATGATGACATATTAGGGCCTTTTTAATGATGACATATTAGGGCCCTTTAATGATGACAGATTAGGGCCCTTTAATGATGACAGATTAGGGCCCTTTAATGATGACAGATTAGGGCCCTATAATGATGACTGATTAGGGCCCTTGAATTATGACGGATTAGGGCCCTTTAATGATGACAGATTAGGGCCTTTTTAATGATGACAGATTAGGGCCCTTTAATTATGACAGATTAGGGCCCTTTAAGGATGACAGATAAGGGCCCTTTAATGATGACAGATTAGGGCCCTTTAATGATGACAGATTGGGCCCTTTAATGATGACAGATTAGGGCCTTTTTAATGATGACAGATTAGGGCCTTTTTAATGATGACAGATTAGGGCCTTTTTAATGATGACATATTAGGGCCTTTTTAATGATGACATATTAGGGCCCTTTAATGATGACAGATTAGGGCCCTTTAATGATGACAGATTAGGGCCCTTTAAGGATGACAGATAAGGGCCCTTTAATTATGACAGATTAGGGCCCTTTAATGACAGATTAGGGCCCTTTAATGATGACAGATTAGGGCCCTTTCATGATGACGGATTAGGGCCCTTTAATTATGACGGATTAGGGCCCTTTAATGATGACAGATTAGGGCCTTTTTAATGATGACAGATTAGGGCCCTTTAATGATGACAGATTAGGGCCCTTTAAGGATGACAGATAAGGGCCCTTTAATGATGACATATTAGGGCCCTTTAATGATTACAGATTAGGGCCCTTTAATGATGACAGATGTAGGGCCCTTTATTGATGAGATTAGGGCCCTTTATTGATGACAGATTAGGCCCTTTAATGAGACAGATTAGGGCCCTTTAATGATGACAGATTAGGGCCCTTTAAGGGGATGACAGATAAGGGCCCTTTAATGATGACAGATTAGGGCCTTTCATGATGACAGATTAGGGCCCTTTAATGATGACAGATTAGGGCCCTTTATTGATGACAGATTAGGGCCCTTTATTGATGACAGATTAGGGCCCTTTAATGATGACAGATTAGGGCCCTTTATTGATGACAGATTAGGGCCCTTTAATGATGACAGATTAGGGCCCTTTAATGATGACAGATTAGGGCCCTTTAATGATGACAGATTAGGGCCATTACATGAAAATCTTACATATTCCTACTTTACGCTTCTGTTTTCGGAGTGAACCAAATGGTGTTATGGCGTTACTGGACATGAGATGATTCCGTGGTGTGTCATGTGACCGCGCTCTCACTGAAGCATGAATACTAACCACAGCAGATACTCTCACTGAAGCATGAATACTAACCACAGCAGATACTCTCACTGAAGCATGAATACTAACCACAGCAGATGCTCCTTCGGCGGCTCCAAGAACACACAGGTCACCGCTCGGATAATGTACTGAAGCCAAGACCGTGGTCACACACTCTGTACAGTACCACTCCGTTCGGCCAATCCATCTGCCGCAGTTTAGAGGGGAAATTAGGCACTCAATGTACCATATTTGTTTAAGTAATTAGAAAGTAATTAATAACCTGGATATATAACCATGTGCACAGCCATTTCTCTTCCCTAAACCGTTTGGGTGCGATGCTAGCAGCTGCCAGACTCAACGTCATGTCTCCTCAGCACTTTTGGTCGAGCTGCCGTCTGCCCCTCTTCGCACTGAGGGGTAAAGAGTATGACACCAATCAAACCCTGGCGCAGAGGTGTATGTGACATCACACAGCGGCAGCTCAAAGCGCCCGGAAGGCTGGAAACGGCTCCCGAAGAGGACGAGGCTGAAACGAGAGCCGGGAGGATTAGGCCCACATTAAAGCGGCCTCTAATTACGCTGCTCCAACACTGTGTTTTTATAAATATTTGATGAAATGTCATAGAGCGATGTGAGGAGGAGGGAGGAGGGAGGAGGGAGGAGGAGGGAGGAGGAGGAGGAGGAGGGAGGAGGAGGAGGAGGGAGGGAGGAGGAGGAGGAGGAGGGAGGGAGGAGGAGGAGGGAGGAGGGAGGGAGGAGGAGGGAGGAGGAGGGAGGAGGAGGGAGGAGGAAGGAGGGAGGAGGAGGGAGGAGGAGGGAGGAGGGAGGAAAAAGGGAGGAGGAGGGAGGGAGGAGGAGGGAGGAAGGAGGAGGGAGGAGGAGGGAGGGAGGAGGAGGGAGGAAGGAGGGAGGGAGGAGGAGTGAGGAGGAAGGAGGGAGGAGGAGGGAGGAGGGAGGAGGGGAGGAGGGAGGGAGGAGGAGGAGGGAGGAGGGAGGAGGGAGGGAGGAGGAGGGAGGAGGAGGGAGGAGGGAGGAAGGGAGGAGGAGGGAGGAGGAGGGAGGAGGGAGGGAGAGGAGGGAGGAGGGAGGAAGGAGGAGGGAGGAGGGAGGAGGGAGGAAGGAGGAGGGAGGAAGGAGGAGGAGGGAGGAGGGAGGAAGGAGGAGGGAGGAAGGAGGAGGGAGGAGGGGAGGAAGGAGGAAGGAGGAGGAGTGAGGAGCAAGGAGGGAGGAGGGAGGAGGGAGGGAGGAGGGAGGAAGGGAGGAGGAGGGAGGAGCAGGGGGGGGAGGAGGGAGGAGGAGGGAGGAGGGAGGAGGGAGAGAGGAGGAGGGGGAGGAAGGAGGAGGGAGGAGGAGGAGGGAGGAAGGAGGAAGGAGGAGGAGGAGGGAGGAGGGAGAAGGAGGAGGGAGGAGGAGGAAGGAGGAGGAGTGAGGAGCAAGGAGGGAGGAGGGAGGAGGGAGGGAGGAGGGAGGAAGGGAGGAGGAGGGAGGAGCAAGGAGGGAGGAGGAGGGAGGAGGAGGGAGGAGGGAGGAGGGAGAGAGGAGGGAGGAGGGAGGAAGGAGGAGGGAGGAGGGAGGAGGAGGAGGAGGGAGGAAGGAGGAGGGAGGAAGGAGGAGGGAGGAGGGAGGAAGGAGGAGGGAGGAGGGCACAGACCTCAGACTCAGTGCGACTGAAGCATGTGTTTAGGATCTTTACCGTCGCTTTGGCGTTTCTTGTTTAAAGACTTTAGAATAAGAACATTATTTTAAATCGTCAGGGCTTTTGTGTAACTTACGACACCTTCTGGCTAAAGTACTATAAGATCTGTGCCATGTGTCTCGCTGACAATACACACACACACACACACACACACAGATAAAACACACACACACAGACGAACACACACTCACACACAGATACACACACAAACACACACAGATACACACAAACCGACACACAGACGAACACACACACACACAAACACACACACACGAACATACACTCACACACAGATACACACACACAGACGAACACACACTCATACACACACACAAACATACACTCACACACAGACGAACACACACACACACAGATAAAACACACAAACACACACACAGATACACACAAACACACACACAGATACACACAAACCGACACACAGACGAACACACAGATACACACACACAGACGAACACACACTCACACACAGATACGCACACACAGATGAACACACACTCACACACAGATACACACACACAGACGAACACACACTCACACACAGATACACACACACAGACGAACACACACTCACACACAGATACACACACACAGACAAACACACACTCACACACAGATACACACACACACACAAATATTGATGATGTTTTAGAAATAATAAACAATAATATTAGAGAATTTCTGATGAAACAAGTAAAAACTATCACAGGCGGCAAAAGTTTTATTTGGTTGTTGTTTTTTTTTCAAATTTGGAAAATTATTGGCTGCAAAAATATATTATTTCAACCAGACAGTTCCAAAACTAATGGAAACGCTTTTGTTTTGAAATGTATTGACCTGACGAGAGGATGTCAAACCGACACAATAACATATATATATAATATAAACATGTTTATGCCTGAAGTTGGATGGATCTAAAACCAAGTCCAAGTCTATTCTTTACAGGAAACACACTGAGAAAAGAAACACTTATGTCTCCTTTAAGACCAACACGCTCTTTCTCTAAACATTTCATTTCTTACATCACATCTGTCAGAGAGATTTCTAAACCAGAGGAAAGTTCCAGGACAGACAGGTTTTCATTATGTGCATTTACTCACTGAATAATAGTGGTCCATTTGCACATCATAAATACTGTTTTACCTGGAGCTGTGGGTGGGCCCGGCCGGCAGTCACTGGAGGGTTGTTCTGCACTGGGGCTGGGGGGAGCAGTGGGCCGGATCCTGGAACAGAATCCTCCAGAGAGAAGAGGCTGAAGGGCAGCTTAATCCCTGAAGCAGCCTCTGTCCCAGTGGATGCACACGCCATCGCAGACAAAAGCCACATCCATCATTTTCATAGTGAGAAATCTCCACCTGCACCTACGGCCAACACACGCTTCACACGACAACTGCCAAGTTTAAAGATCTTAAGGGGACCGCCACAAAAATAGAAGATACATTAATGCCTTTATTCGGCGAGAAAGTGACGTGACTTTGGGATGTGATATGACCGCTTGTGCCAGGAAGGGTTGATCCAATTTTTCTCTGTGTCAGTGCTCGTCCCAGTCTGTATCAGGCCGTGGTTGGTTCATGCAGCGGGCGGATGATGGATGAGAAGAGGGGAGGTGTTGTGTTTTCAGTGTCCCTGGGCCGGACCATGTGACAGTTCTGAGTCCACAGTCTACACTGGGTACGACAGATGGAAGTAATCAGATCAGTGACAATCTGTGGCTTTCTCAGACTGTTCAAAGGTCCTTGCATCTCGTTGATTTTCCTGCCAGAAAATTGTACCAGGATATTTTTCAATAATATGCAGTGAGGTTTGGACACCAGAAGGACCTCCAGCACAAGGGATTTTATTTTGGACCAGTCTAGTTTAGCCGCTGAGGACTTTTGAATGAACTCATTAAATGCATTGGGCTAGGGCAGCTAACAAACAAATGTGTTTTTACGCATATTTTTCCAGAGGCCATTTTGAAAAAGCCACAGAAGCCAAAAGTGACGGCACATTAGCCATGAGATAGCCATGTTTACATCTTTAATATTTACAGTCTACGATGTGGACACAGTGACATGTAAAACAAACCATGTAGAAGACACGTTCACCGCCGTGGCCATGGGACTAATCTCGTGTACAGTTGGAGAGCTCTTTGAAATGCTGTGCGTCAGCTTTTTTAATGAAGGTGGAAGTCTATCTCCTCCCCACTGAGCCCCCTCCCAGCCCACGTCCCGCTGGCTGCACGATACAGGTGTGAATTTACAATGTGCTTCTCTGCGGCGTTTCGCACAGCGGAGCCGAGCACAATGCCAATCTCAGCGGTGGTAAAGACTGAGCAAAGACCCCAGCTGTCTCCAGGCACGGGGTCCGCCTCCAACGCAAGGATTTACCCCGGGATCCACACTGACACAGTGTGGATCCTACAGAACCTACCCAGAGACAGCCCGGTCCCACTCCTCTCGTCTCTCCCCTTTCTCCAAACCATCTGGCACATTATCGCCGCAGATTTATTCCACAGAGAAGAAGAGTAGAGGTGTCCTGGTTCTACATTTCACTTTAAATGTTTTGTAATTTATGGGTTTTAACTTTCTGCTTTCAGAAGGTTTCACCGTTCGGACGAGGACGCTTCCACAGTCTCTGCACAGTTTCTGTTTGGTCAGCGTTCTCGCCGCACTGTAAAGATTAATGATTAAGAATATGAGATTAAGTAAGTATAAATAGTAAGTAAGTAATGTTTTTTCATACAGCGCATTTTAACAGACCAAGGTACAGACCCAAAGCACTTTACAATGTTCAGAAATCAGATATTTTTCCATTCCATCCGGAAGCGAGACCCGAACACACTGGTCCATCAAAGCCTCCGACCAAACACCATCCATTCACTCATTACATTCAGACCTGTACATGTTTTTCGTGTTAGCGGAGCACCTGGAGGAAACTTACACAGGGAGAACATTTAAACCACCCTCGGAAAGACCCTGTTCCGACCGGGATTCAAACCCAGGACCCCCCATAGGTTTATATATGAAGTGTGTTTGTGATTATTCTGTATATTTGATTTCAGAACGGACTTGTGTGTGAACTATTTTTACTGTATGTTTGTATTTGTGAAGCGCTTTGGTCCTGGTCTGTGAAAGGTGCTATATATATAAACTTAACATACTTATTTAGGACGCTGAGGTGATTTCTCTTTCCACCTGTGATCCTACGAGCTGTGACAAAACCAGAGGTGATAAATGTATTTCTATTGGAAATAAAAAGAAAAACAAGTTCCCAAATCCAGCACAATGTTTTTTCAAATTGTGTTAAACCTCAGAGTCTTTGTTAATTGCACGATAGGTCGAGAAAACACAGATTTATTTGAACAAAGAGAGAAAAGTAGTACTGCCTAAATACCTGGCGGGTTAAATGCACTGTGGTCCCAGGTGCGCACCAAGCTATAGGCCCCTCGTCTCTGCTGATTGTCTCTGGATTCAGACGGCCTCTAGAATCAATCTTTTGTATTTAAATCTTTGCTTAAGACGCGATTTTTATCTTTGGCTTTTAACACCAGGTAGAAAGTATTTTTTTATTGCATTTTGAGAATACATCTTACCCCCAGGTCCTCCCACAATATTTCTAAGAGGAGAGAATGCATTATGACATTTAACACAAAATACATGTATTTAAAAAATAAATGATAATAATAATAACAAAGAAAGAATTAGATAAATAAAGTAAAAAAAAAAAAATAGAAAGAAATAAAAGAAAAATGGACAGAAGTACTAGATAATACAAATACAATTGGGTATATATATTTCTGTATTTATATTATACAGTTTTCTTTCTTTGTGGTAAGCCTAGGCTGCTTTAAATGTGAATTTGATTTTTCTGATTTGGCAAAAGGCGGAAGTCTACCGTAGTCTGAATTTAGAAAATATAATTCACTTCCTACATTCATTTAAAACATTTGTTGGTCTTCAGCCAAAACCACGGTCCCAGATCTCCAAAGTCCAATAAAGTATTCTGTTACAGTCACTTCCTGTGGGCCCTCAGGACCCAGGGGCCTCGCTAGCACCGTGTCTGTACATCTGTGGTGAGGGATGATGTATGGGAAATCAAAGGCAGAGAAAGAGGAGGGTCCGAGGGCAGGTTACCCAAGTCTCTCAGGCTCCAGTCTGGTTTAGAGGTAACGGTGAGAGCCACACAGGCTCCAGTCTGATCCAGAGGTAACAGTGAGAACCACACAGGCTCCAGTCTGGTCCAGAGAGCCACACAGGCTCCAGTCTGATCCAGAGGTAACAGTGAGAACCACACAGGCTCCAGTCTGGTCCAGAGAGCCACACAGGCTCCAGTCTGATCCAGAGGTAACAGTGAGAACCACACAGGCTCCAGTCTGGTCCAGAGAGCCACACAGGCTCCAGTCTGGTCCAGACCAGAGGTAACGGAGAGAGCCACACAGGCTCCAGTCTGGTCCAGAGGTAACGGTGAGAGCCACACAGGCTCCAGTCTGGTCCAGAGAGCCACACAGGCTCCAGTCTGGTCCAGAGGTAACGGTGAGAGCCACACAGGCTCCAGTCTGGTCCAGAGGTAACGGAGAGAGCCACACAGGCTCCAAACTCAGGAGCTTCGATTTTAAACCAACACCAGAGAAAAGAAGGAAACATGGGTTTGTTCTGAAGACCACACAGATAACAATCAGACCATGTGCTTTTCTTTATCCTGATCCGGACCTGATCCTTAGACTGAGATTTGATTTTTTTTTTTACACAGATTATTATTTACTTTCTTATTAAACCAATTAAATGTGAAAACACCATCATACATGAGGGCGGTCAGCACTCTCGCTTCTCAGCAAGAAGGTTCTGGGTTCGAATCCCGGTTGGAACAGGGCCTTTCTGAGTGGAGTTTGCATGTTCTCCCAGTGCCTACGTAAGTTTCCTCCGGGTGCTCCGGTTTCCCCTAACACTAAAACCATGTGCAGTAGTTCAGGGTGAATGAGTGTGTTTGTGAGAGCGACTGTGGGACACGGATGGAAATGAGCCCAAGCTACACCTGGAGTGATATGTTCATGAACATGTACTGTCCCGACCAAATAAACAATAAATAAAACAAATAATCATTTTTTTAAAACCTTTTTTTCACATGTTTAAATTTCAGGAATAAATGGACAGAAACTGTTGTACATTTTTCATTTAAATTTGTGTTGATTATTTTTTAAATATCCCTTAAAAGTGATTTCCTGACGTTGTGGAGTTCATCTGTGTCTGTTTTATTTTCTCTGAGTCACAGAATGATCCAGTCAGAGGCAGATCTTTAACAAATGTATTTCTCTTCCTTTGATTCTATCCACTCTCTCTCTTTGATCTGTCTGTGTTTCAAATCATTTCTCTGATCAATAACAGACCTTTCACTTTAGAGCCATAACCTTTAAAAGTCCAGATTAATGAACACTTTTCTGTGAACACACAAAACACACTCAGACACAAATATAAAATACACATCTGACCTGGAACATCATCGTAGTTTGTCCAAAGGTTATTTTGCTTTTAAAGGAACTTCATGATTTATTTTGCTGTTGTTAACATTATCATGACATCATTTTTTTAGAAAATAGTTACCAATTAAATATATTTTATAATCTTTGTTTTACCGTAGGCAGCCATTGTTGTTTACGTCGCAGTGCATTCTGGGTAGTGACGCCATAAGGTTGCGGATGTTTTTAGCAGCAGCGGCCACAGTGACCTCCTGTTGAACTAGCGGAGGATGGGGCTCCTGAGTGAGGACGGAGCTCCTGAGTGAGGACGGAGCTCCTGAGTGAGAGGACGGAGCTCCTGAGTGAGGACGGAGCTCCTGAGTGAGAGGACGGAGCTCCTGAGTGAGGACGGAGCTCCTGAGTGAGGACAGAGCTCCTGAGTGAGAGGACGGAGCTCCTGAGTGAGGACGGAGCTCCTGAGTGAGAGGACGGAGCTCCTGAGTGAGAGGATGGAGCTCCTGAGTGAGGACGGAGCTCCTGAGTGAGGACGGAGCTCCTGAGTAAGGACGGAGCTCCTGAGTGAGGACGGAGCTCCTGAGTGAGGACGGAGCTCAGTGAGGACGGAGCTCCTGAGTGAGGACGGAGCTCAGTGAGGACGGAGCACCTGATGAGGACGGAGCTCCTGAGTGAGAGGATGGAGCTCCTGAGTGAGGACGGAGCTCCTGAGTGAGGATGGAGCTCAGTGAGGACGGAGCACCTGAGTGAGAGGATGGAGCTCCTGAGTGAGAGGATGGAGCTCCTGAGTGAGGACGGAGCTCCTGAGTGAGGACGGAGCTCCTGAGTGAGAGGATGGAGCTCCTGAGTGAGAGGATGGAGCTCCTGAGTGAGGACGGAGCTCCTGAGTGAGGACGGAGCTCAGTGAGGACGGAGCTCCTGAGTGAGGACGGAGCTCAGTGAGGACGGAGCACCTGAGTGAGGACGGAGCTCCTGAGTGAGGACGGAGCACCTGAGTGAGGACGGAGCACCTGAGTGAGAGGACGGAGCACCTGAGTGAGGACGGAGCTCCTGAGTGAGAGGACGGAGCTCCTGAGTGAGGACGGAGCTCCTGAGTGAGGACGGAGCTCCTGAGTGAGAGGACGGAGCTCCTGAGTGAGGACGGAGCTCCTGAGTGAGAGGACGGAGCTCCTGAGTGAGAGGATGGAGCTCCTGAGTGAGGACGGAGCTCCTGAGTGAGGACGGAGCTCCTGAGTAAGGACGGAGCTCCTGAGTGAGGACGGAGCTCCTGAGTGAGGACGGAGCTCAGTGAGGACGGAGCTCCTGAGTGAGGACGGAGCTCAGTGAGGACGGAGCACCTGATGAGGACGGAGCTCCTGAGTGAGAGGATGGAGCTCCTGAGTGAGGACGGAGCTCCTGAGTGAGGATGGAGCTCAGTGAGGACGGAGCACCTGAGTGAGAGGATGGAGCTCCTGAGTGAGAGGATGGAGCTCCTGAGTGAGGACGGAGCTCCTGAGTGAGGACGGAGCTCCTGAGTGAGAGGATGGAGCTCCTGAGTGAGAGGATGGAGCTCCTGAGTGAGGACGGAGCTCCTGAGTGAGGACGGAGCTCAGTGAGGACGGAGCTCCTGAGTGAGGACGGAGCTCAGTGAGGACGGAGCACCTGAGTGAGGACGGAGCTCCTGAGTGAGGACGGAGCACCTGAGTGAGGACGGAGCACCTGAGTGAGAGGACGGAGCACCTGAGTGAGGACGGAGCTCCTGAGTGAGAGGACGGAGCTCCTGAGTGAGGACGGAGCTCCTGAGTGAGGACGGAGCTCCTGAGTGAGGACGGAGCACCTGAGTGAGGACGGAGCTCCTGAGTGAGAGGATGGAGCTCCTGAGTGAGGACGGAGCTCCTGAGTGAGGACGGAGCTCCTGAGTGAGGACGGAGCACCTGAGTGAGGACGGAGCTCAGTGAGGACGGAGCTCCTGAGTGAGAGGATGGAGCTCCTGAGTGAGAGGATGGAGCTCCTGAGTGAGGATGGAGCTCCTGAGTGAGGACGGAGCTCCTGAGTGAGGACGGAGCTCAGTGAGGACGGAGCTCCTGAGTGAGGACGGAGCTCAGTGAGGACGGAGCACCTGAGTGAGGACGGAGCACCTGAGTGAGAGGTTGGAGCACCTGAGTGAGGATGGAGCTCCTGAGTGAGGACGGAGCTCCTGAGTGAGGACGGAGCTCCTGAGTGAGGATGGAGCTCCTGAGTGAGGATGGAGCTCCTGAGTGAGGATGGAGCTCCTGAGTGAGGACTGAGCTCCTGAGTGAGAGGATGGAGCTCCTGAGTGAGAGGATGGAGCTCCTGAGTGAGAGGATGGAGCTCCTGAGTGAGGATGGAGCTCCTGAGTGAGAGGATGGAGCTCCTGAGTGAGGATGGAGCTCCTGAGTGAGGACGGAGCTCAGTGAGGACGGAGCTCCTGAGTGAGGACGGAGCTCAGTGAGGACGGAGCTCCTGAGTGAGGACGGAGCTCAGTGAGGACGGAGCTCCTGAGTGAGGACGGAGCTCAGTGAGGACGGAGCTCCTGAGTGAGGACGGAGCTCAGTGAGGACGGAGCTCCTGAGTGAGGACGGAGCACCTGAGTGAGGACGGAGCTCCTGAGTGAGGATGGAGCTCAGTGAGGACGGAGCACCTGAGTGAGGACGGAGCTCCTGAGTGAGGATGGAGCTCCTGAGTGAGGACGGAGCACCTGAGTGAGGACGGAGCACCTGAGTGAGGACGGAGCACCTGAGTGAGGACGGAGCTCCTGAGTGAGAGGATGGAGCTCCTGAGTGAGGATGGAGCTCCTGAGTGAGGACGGAGCTCCTGAGTGAGGAAAGGAGCTCCTGAGTGAGAGGATGGAGCTCCTGAGTGAGAGGATGGAGCTCCTGAGTGAGAGGATGGAGCTCCTGAGTGAGGACGGAGCTCCTGAGTGAGAGGATGGAGCTCCTGAGTGAGAGGATGGAGCTCCTGAGTGAGGACGGAGCTCCTGAGTGAGAGGATGGAGCTCCTGAGTGAGGACGGAGCTCCTGAGTGAGAGGACGGAGCTCAGTGAGGACGGAGCTCCTGAGTGAGGACGGAGCTCAGTGAGGACGGAGCTCCTGAGTGAGGACGGAGCTCAGTGAGGACGGAGCACCTGAGTGAGGACGGAGCACCTGAGTGAGGACGGAGCTCCTGAGTGAGGACGGAGCTCCTGAGTGAGGACGGAGCTCCTGAGTGAGGACGGAGCTCCTGAGTGAGAGGATGGAGCTCCTGAGTGAGGACGGAGCTCCTGAGTGAGGACGGAGCTCCTGAGTGAGGACGGAGCACCTGAGTGAGGACGGAGCACCTGAGTGAGGATGGAGCACCTGAGTGAGGACGGAGCACCTGAGTGAGGACGGAGCACCTGAGTGAGGATGGAGCTCCTGAGTGAGGATGGAGCTCCTGAGTGAGGACGGAGCACCTGAGTGAGGACGGAGCCAGTGGCGGAGCCAGAGGGGTAGCCAGGGTGGCCACTGCCACCTCTAAAAATACCCTTGCCACCCCCAGTGCCCCCCTCGGAAGACGGCAATGTAATAATGTTAATCTTGAGAATCTTCCGCACTTTTTCCGGCAAAAGCTAAAAATTCCCACGGTTTCCCCCGTCTGTGAACGCACCCTGACTCCGTGTGGAACCGGTGCTGTATGCTAATGTTTTGGGTTGTTGGACTCAAATGTGCCCAAGTCGTGATGAAAACAAAGAGGTAAGTTAGCGATGCAGAGCCGTTTACATTTGACACAAAGTATAGACACACGTACTGCAGCGCATTACTTGTTCAGTTTGTAGAACTTTTAGTGTGTGTATGTGTGTGTGCGTGCCTGTGTGCGTGCCTGTGTGCGTGCCTGTATGCGCGCCTGTGTGCGTGTGTCAGCGTGCCATTGTGTCTGCGTGTGTGTGCGTGCCTGTGTGTGCCAGTGTGGGTCTGCGTGCCTGTGCGCGTGTGTGCGTGCCTGTGTGTGTGTGCGTGCCTGTGTGCGTGCAGGGTGCATGCGTGTTTATTTTCCATTATTAATTGCCCATCGTATCATCGCCCTCTTCCCTTTAGTGTAAACATTAAAAGAAAAGGAGGAAACATTGCCTACAGGCCTTTTTTTGTTAGGAAAAGGCTGTAGATCAGGATGATGAAACCTGAAGGTCAGACTCGGAGGCAGTATGTTTTAAGATGATGAGGAATTTGTTGTGTTGTATTAAAATATAGCTTATATAATTGAGTTTCAGAGAATGAGAGGGTGTCGCAGACAGGTGCAGGATTGTCTATTGGCAGAAGGCGTTTTTTCACACACAAAAAAAGAAACAAAATAGCTAAGATTATGGATGATGTGCAGTCGCTTGACCCCAAAAATTTTTTGAAAGAAGAGCCCCTGTTTTCATTTGGCAGAACCTTTGAGTCAGATATAGAGGACCTTAAGCATGAAGTACGTCAAACTAGGCGGCTTCTTGGGAGGAAAAAATGGATTAGAGAGTCCCTATTGGACTTCCTTGTCCTTTTGGAACGTTTGGAAAGTGTTTCATGAGCTTTTGAGGCTTGCAAAGATCTTTTTAATACCTTTCAGTACTGCGTCTTGTGAAATAAGTTTCTCTGTCCTAAAACTTATTAAAAACCATCTCATAACTACCATGGCAGATGATTGAGTCATCTTGGTATCCTCAGTGTAGGGTAAAGGAAGGCTCAGGGCTGAATATGGATGAGTTTGTCAACATCTTTGCTGCTTTACACCAGAACCGTAGGAATTTGCTAAATTTGTTAAAAGAAAAATGTAATGCAATGTTTGAATGATGTTATTTTGCACTTTTTTGTTCAGACTACTATTTAAATACACTTTTTTGCTTTGTGTTCCAAGTGTGCTCTCAGTTCACTTTATATTAAGAATAATGACAAGATTAAGATTAAAATGTATAGTTTAGCCAGTTTTTGTGCAAAATAAAATTTCGGAATAGTATAAAGGTGGTGGACCCCTCAAAAAAACCCTTGCCACCCCCTGGCCACCCTCTGCTTAAAAGTCTGGCTCCGCCACTGGACTGAGCACCTGAGGACGCTCACTCAGGAGCGTCCTCACGGAGCTCCTGAGTGAGGACGGAGCACCTGAGTGAGGACGGAGCACCTGAGTGAGGATGGAGCTCCTGAGTGAGGACGGAGCTCCTGAGTGAGGACGGAGCTCCTGAGTGAGGACGGAGCTCCTGAGTGAGGACGGAGCTCCTGAGTGAGGACGGAGCACCTGAGTGAGGACGGAGCTCCTGAGTAAGGACGGAGCTCCTGAGTGAGGACGGGTCGGTCTCGTCCAGCGGTGTCTCTGGTGCAGCTGTTTTTGCCGACGCCGACTCAAACTTGTTTAGATAAAATAAGTTTGTGATGCTGTATTTTAAGAAAACATCAAACATAAGAAGAAATAAGTAAATAATAAATGTATGTTTTTAAACTAGAATCAAGTCGTTTAAGGATAGTTTTATTATATTATTTTCAGAAAGTCCTTGTTTTTTTGGCAGATCCTTTTTATTCTTTTTTCATATTTTTTTCAGGAGCTGTTGTGTGTCCAGGGGCTGCAGTGTGTGTGTTGTGTGTGTCCAGGGGCTGCAGTGTGTGTTGTGTGTGTCCAGGAGCTGTTGTGTGTGTCTGGGAGCTGTAATGTGTGTTGTGTGTCCGGGAGCTGTAGTGCGTGTTGTGTGTCCGGGAGCTGTAGTGTGTGTTGTGTGTCCGGGAGCTGTAGTGTGTGTTGTGTGTGTCCAGGAGCTGTTGTGTGTGTTGTGTGTGTCCAGCAGATGTAGTGTATGTTCAGGAGCTGTTGTGTGTCCAGGAGCTGTTGTGTGTCCAGGAGTTGTAGTGTGTGTTGTGTGTGTCCAGGAGCTGCAGTGTGTGTTGTGTGTGTCCAGGAGCTGTAGTGTGTGTTGTGTGTGTCCAGGAGTTGTAGTGTGTGTTGTGTGTGTCCAGGAGCTGTTGTGTGTTTTGTGTGTGTCCAGGGGCTGCAGTGTGTGTTGTGTGTGTCCAGGGGCTGCAGTGTGTGTTGTGTGTGTCCAGGAGCTGTTGTGTGTGTCCAGCAGATGTAGTGTGTGTCCAGCAGCTGTTGTGTGTCCAGGAGCTGTAGTGTGTGTCCAGGAGCTCTTGTGTGTGTTGTGTGTCCAGCAGCTATTGTGTGTCCAGGAGCTGTTGTGTGTGTCCGGGAGCTGTAGTGTGTGTTGTGTGTCCGGGAGCTGTAGTGTGTGTTGTGTGTGTCCAGGAGCTGTTGTGTGTGTTGTGTGTGTCCAGCAGATGTAGTGTATGTCCAGGAGCTGTTGTGTGTCCAGGAGCGCACAGGGCCTGAAGTTCGCACCAAGGGCACTTCTTGTGCGAGCACAGGGCCAGCAGACGGCCCCTGGGGGCCTCAGTGTGATGTGTGAGAAACTGCGGACTCTATTTGTCTCCGAGTGAAACTCACCTCTGACCGCCACGACTTGCTCCGAGGCAACTCTTTATCTTTCTGCCAGCACCATGAAGATGATGGAATATGGTGCTCCATGCTCCATGGTGCGGCACCGGGACCCGTCACAAACGATGACTCTTCCTGCGACGCAAATATGGCTCACAATCTGAGGAGAAATCACAGAACATTTCATTTTTATTTATTCTTTCATGAAAATGATGTTGCACTTTTCAGCTTCATAACATACATGACATACATAAATAACATATATAAAATACATAACATATATAACATAACATTACTTTGAATGAATACTATATATTTATGATAGTTGATAAATTAATATTCAATGGAAAAAGTCATATAAATAAGTGGCGTGGAACGGCCCTTGCCTAACCACAAAAGGAAGGTGGCGCTGACATGACATTATTTTCTCCCGTAGCCATAGAACAATGACTGTAAAATGATTATGAATATGAGCAGTTGGTTTGTCTCTGTAAGCTAATGGACCAATCTAATTATTCACACAGTCATGTGACCTAGGCCCAGGAGTTGAACAACAGAGTCAAGTTTAGTGCAAATCAGAGTTTGTAAATGTGCTCCTGTTTGCACATACAATCTGTGAGTGTGTCCACACAGTCTCCCTTGGATAACATGGGAACTTCACACCTCTCTATGAAAATAACCACACTTTGATGGTCCATGTGTTGAGATGATGTGGAGCAATTTTCAGCCTAATTAGAGAAACGGCAGATTAAATTAGCTCAATAGCGGCAAAAATCCACTGAAGGAATGCTAACTTTATGAAAAATGCTAATGAAGCAGAACAGCCTGATTCCAGTCAAACAGTTTTACAATCTAGTCTGTGCCCAGCCTATAGTGAACAAGCCTGGTTCACTAAAGTGGCCTTCTATTAAAAAAAAGTTTGGACACCCCTGCAAAAGCCCCTCTACGTCTGTTGTGTAACTTTGTGTTGTTTTCCTAAGTTGCTAATTCAACTTGTTTACAATGATTACACACTGTCATAATATGCAAAAAGGCAGGTTTGCTTCTGCTCCATCTTTCTCACCTGCCAGACAAAACCGCTCTCAAATCCAGGCCTAAAACACACACACAAACACGCACACACACACACACACACACAAACACGCCATTATGTTTTCCTTCTCTTCCCATTTTGAGCCTACCGACAGCATTACATCCACAAGTGTCTTCTGCGATGTGGAGTTTGGCCGGTGTCTCCCTGAAGAGCTGCTGAGAGCGTGACGATGATTAGTCGCCTGTGAGCAGCTTGTGTGTTGTTGATCCAGGCCGACAGACAACATATGTGTGTACTCATAATCAACACATGGGCTGCGAGGGGGGAACATCTTGCCAAGGCACATCTCCGTCTTTGTTTTTTTCGCAAGTCTAGGGAAATAAGGTGCTCCGCCATCCAAATTACACCGACAAAAATGTGTAATCCAAGATGTAGTAAAGTGGCAGTTCATGGCGGCTTCTCGAATCAACACAATCTGATTTGCACCGTGCGCGCAGATGGGATTATCCGTATTTACAGCGTTCAGGTTGCCAAGCAGTAACCGAAACTGTGACAAGCTCAAATGGATTTTACTGCAGTTTTCTGACAGTTTTATCTTGGAGATGGAGAGGGTTTGTTTGAGCGTCCTGCAGGGAAAGTGACGCCCTCAAGAATCATGAACAAATGGCTCTGCACAGCTTCAGCTCCCAAGAGATTTTAATTTGTACCACAAGATGTAAACAGTCATCTCAATTTTTTACTATTTTTGTCTTGTTGCACGCTTCTCAGAGTTTGATGTGTGCGTCCACCTCACTCTAACTCTCAAGAATTAGCCCTTCATCCTTCACCAACTCAAATGCTCAACTGTCTACTTTCCAAATCAAGCCATTGACCTCCCATCTCTTCATAATGTGACTCAGAAACCACTGGGTAGCAAGAAAGTCCTGGGTTCGAATCCCGGTCATACCAGGGCCTTTCTAAGTGGAGTTTGCATGTTCTCCTCGTGTCTGCATAGGTTTCCTCCGGGTACTTCGGTTTCCCCTACCGCTAAAAACATGCACAATAGGTCTGGCATGTGCCTCCTGCACTGGCCCCTCCCATCTCTGTGTGGAGCGAGAGACTAATGCCCCAAAAATAACAAAAAATGCCTTGACTCTGGTCTGTGAAAGGCGGTTTATAAATAAAGATTACTTATTTACTCCACTATACTTCTATTTTATTCACTTTAAGCTTCAGCACAAAGCCACATAATAATAGCAGCAGATTTATTGACTTCCTGTTGATCACAGATTAGAACAGGTAAAATAGGCCCCAAGGATTCTGTAGGACCCTAAAGAATAAAAAAAAAAATATCTTGTGCACACATTTACTGAATGTATTGATATGTGTACTTTCATAGTAAACGTCTACAAAGATACTTTTAAGAAGAAAATAGAATTAAAGCCGCAAGCGGTGTCGGATGGCCCTTGTCGCGCTAACCTGGCCCTCTTCCTACAGCCCTGATGGGGGCGACACTGTGTCTATGTTGAATGCCTATGATCAGTGATTGTGTGTCTCTGGTGAATAACACGGGGACTTTCCAGAGTCTGCCGCACACACCGCTTAACTGATCAAAAATATTCCAGATTCTAGCACCCAGAATTTGTGCATTAACAAACATTTATAAGTAGGCTATTTTACACTTCTGATTTCCCCAATCCTCGAACACCATCATTACTGAGAACAATGTGTTTTAATTTCATGGTTAATCATTTTTCACCACGCACAAAAGGTGAAAATCCAAACTTTGGAAGCTGTGACTGTGACAATCTCCATAAATATCTTGAAAGTGTGATATTCTGCTAAAGGCGAGACGTAGCAGGGTCACAACGCTGCGCGGTTTAATCTTTTCACCCGGGAAGTGAAAATGAACGGATGAAAGAATGACCAGAGTGAGTCCTTTCATGTGCTCTCAGATTAAACCTCGAAGGTAAAAGCAAATCAAAGTAGATGGAGTGGATGTGGGTTCAGCTCCGTGTAACAAAGGGACTGGAACACAGGGATATCTGAGCTCTCAACAACGCATGAAGAGATTTACACTTTTCTCTGTTGATGAAGTTCATGTGAGCGGTTATTGCCTCAGTGTGTAGGGCATTGGCCTTTGAGCCAGAAGGCCGTGGGTCGTGGGTTCAACCCCCCCACGAGACCTTCTCCAGTGACTCCACTGATGTCTGCTGCTTGCCTTGATGTGTATGTGTATATGTATATGTGTATATGTATATGTATATGTGTATATGTATATGTATATGTGTATATGTATATGTATATGTGTATATGTATATGTAGATGTGTGTATGTATATGTGTGTATATGTATAT